GATCATCAGAGGTTTTTTTTTTACTTTTAAAAGCATTTTTTTTGGCCAAAGTGGTTGTAGAAAAAATACTTTAAAAAAAAAAGCCTCTGGTGATTGCGCGGCTCAGCTGGGCAATGTGGGGGGGCAGGGATTTTTGCTACCAGTTCTCCAAACCACCCGCCTCCATCGCTACCGGATCGGGCGATCCGGTCTGAACCGGGAGCATTTCACCCCTGCTACAGTCTGGTTTGTGCAAACCCCAGAGAATGGTTGTGTTGGCTTCAAATAATGCACAAAACCTCAAAACTGCAGTTACAGCAGTGATTGATGGCAGCGGAGTGGGAGCATGTGAATCACATTTGGCAGATATAACCCAGGAGAATAGAAATTAAATTAAAATAAACACTTGTAGTTTAGCCTAAGCATAAGCACCGTTTTATTAACCATCGTGAAACAGCTCTTCTGTCTAGAGATTTTGAAAGTGAAGAAGGAAAGCTTAACACACACAAATCCCAATTTTAGTGCAGTGTTTAAAATATTTATTATAACAATTCAACCAATAAACTAAAATGTCAGGTTGACAAGCACCTGGAGGTACATTTGCCACACGTAGAGGCTGGTTTATTATTTAGAAGTTTTTCAACATGTCTAGCTTTAATAACTGAAGTTTGAAGACATTTATTCTACTTGGAGGCAAAAAAAATTTTTTGTAGCAGCTTCACATCCACTATTACAAAGAGTCTTTGTCAAAAGGCATTGCGATCTTTAGAATTCATATTCTTTTTGTAATGCTTCTCCAAGAGATGTGCTGGATATCAGCATCTCCATTCTCTAGCCACTGAAACATGGTGGGAAACTGATATGAGACTGAGGGCGACCTCAACCAACTAAAACTAAATGCCTGCTTTTGAAGCATTTGCAGAAACTAAGGCCCATGTTCAGAAATGGCTTTAATATAATCCATAGCAATAGCACTTAGACTTCTATACCTCTTCATAGTGCTTTACAGCACACTCTAAGTGGTTTACAGAGTCAGCATATTGCCCCCAACAATCTGGATCCTCTTTTTATTGACTCGGAAGGATGGGAGGCTGAGTCCACCTTGAACAGGTGAGGATCGAATCCCAGCAGTGAGCTGAATTAGCCTGACAATACTGCATTCTAACCACTGCGCCACCACAACTCCATAATGTTCTTCAGACAGACCAAGGAGAAGTCATACTATTAAAAATGGTGGCCAAATGTGTGTCTCTGCTTAACTTCACGAATAATTCCTTACAGATTCTCAGATTGTACAGATTGGTAGGCTGGACTATAGTTGGTCAACTGTTGGATCAGGGCTTTGTACAAATTCAGACCATTCAACCAGTATGGATAGTTTATAATTTTGTGTACAGCACATAGGAAGTTGGGATAATTCAATAAGCCATGAAATAACCATGGCTCAGACTATTGTGCAGTCATGGCCATTCCACATTTATTTATTAATCTTGCCTTTATTTTTATAAGTGACTCAAAGTGGCCAATACACCTTATATACTCCCTATTTCCCCACATGAACAACCCTGTGAGATGAGTTAGGCTGAGGTAAATGATTGGTCCACGGTCACCAGCTGGCTTTTATGCCTAAAATAGGACTAGAACTCACAATGTCCTGGTTTCTAGGCCCACGCCTGAACATCTGCTCCGAACTACAGATAGTCCTCGACTTACAACAGTTCATTTAGTGACCAAAGTTAAAACAGCACTGAAAAAAGTGACTCACGGCCATTTTTCACACTTACGACCGTTGCGGCATCCCCATGGTAAAGTGATCAAAATTCAAAAGCTTAGCAACTGACTCATACTTATGACTGTTGTACTGTCTTGGAGTTATGTGACCACCTTTTGCGACCTTCTGACAAGCAAAATCAATGGAGAAGCCTGATTCACTTAACAACTGTGTTACTAATTTAACAACTGCAGTGATTCACTTAACAAGGTCATAAAATGGGACAAAACTCACTGAGCAATGATACTTTTAAGACTAATTTCTAACAAATATGTTGTGCTCTGGTATAGTAGTGGCACATTTTCTAAAGATTACTCTGCTCCGTGCATCATTTACACTGTGCTGTGTATAGAGATAGCCTTGGCCCCTTTAGGAAGGCAGTGAAGATCCTTTTTTTCCCTTTCTTTTCTATGATCTGTTATGGAGGGGTAATTTTTTTTTGTGTTTTTTAAGCTATGTAATACAGGTAGTCCTCAACTTACAACAGTTCATTTGTTGACAGTTCAAAGTTACAACAGCATTGAAAAAAGTCACTTATGACAATTTTTTGTGCTTACAATTTTTGTAGCATTCCCATGCTCATGCGATCAAAATTCAGAAGCTTGGCATCTGGTTCATACTTATGACCATTACTGTTTTTGAAAGTCATATGATCACCTTTTGCAATCTTTTGACAAGCAAAATCAATGGGGAAGCTAGATTCATTTAACAACTGTGTTACTAACTTACCAACCGCAGTGATTCACTTAACAACTGTGACAAGAAAGGTCGTAAATTGTGGCAAAACCCATTTAACAAATGTCTCATTTAACAGAAATTTTGGGCTCAAATGTGGTTTTAAGCCAAAGACTGTCTGTATTTTTACTAAAAAATTATTATTTTTATTAGTGCAGTTTGGAGATTACTGTAAACCACTGTTGATTTGGTCTGATACAATTTATATACTAAATAAATAAAACATCTAGCTAAATAGTAAATCATTTCTGCAGGGAATCCTTCTTACGAATGTTTCCCTCATTTAAGTCAAAATGCATTAGTCATAATGCAGAAAAATATAAACATTTTGGGTGTGCATAAACAAATAAAAATAATACCGTGCATATATTCACATGTGGTATAGCTACAGTATCATTTATGTAAGATGAATTATATTAACAAAATAAATTCTTAACAAAGAATCTATTGTTGAACAGATCTTAAAGTTTTTATTTCGCTGGGGGTGTTTTGCATTATCTGTTATTAATCACCAAACCATTTCAGTTGACCACACTTTCAATAGAGATTGGTTTATCACCCAGGACCCTCTGGGATTTTTGGCATTCACTATTATAACAAATAGTCTCCTCCACATATTTTTCTTGCTTTTGAGTTGGCATAGTGGGTCGGGTAATATTTTTTGGGTGTGACAGATTTAGCTCTGAAGTTTCAGAAGCTGATCCTAAACTGAATCTATTCACCACTTTGTCTTATTCTCATTTCCCTGTGTACAGAACTCTGTGTTGATTTGCAAAGATAAGAGTGTTGGAAAGCAGTACAGGAGTGGTCCCAATAGTTTGTAGCTTGGCGTTCTGGCAGGGGGGAGAGTGGGCCGCGTAAGCAACAACCCAGCTGCATGAGCGCAGCTTGTCTTGTACGAGTGATGGGCTGGCGCACAGACAGCCCACCGCTGCTACAAGTTGTGCAAGTTGAGCTGCATGTGCATATGCGTCAGCCCCCTGTTCATGCAAGTAAAGCTGTGCATGTGTGTGCACGCGCCAACCTGCCACTCATCCAAGTCTAACTGTGTGTGTGTGTGTATATATGTGGCACCAGCTTGCTACTCAAACAGCCTGGTTCCCCTCTCTTCCCCGGCCAAGCTTGCACATGTTGAGCTGTGTGCGCCAGCCACTGCTCGCGCAAGTCAAGCTGTGCATGTGTGCGCAATGGCCCACCATTCACGTGGCCCAGGGGTTGGGGATCCCTGTACTACAGGGAGGGAGGGGGTTTTTCCCAAAGAGCAGAGGCAGCTCAGTGTGGAATCTTTCATCTATAGGAAGCAAGTAACAGTTTTGCAGATTGCTGCTTCAATCTAGCAAATTCCTGTCTATAGGAATTAAATAAAATAATTAAATGCAATACTTAAAAAAACCCTGATCTGGAGTAACTCCCATCATTCTTGGTTCCTTGCACTTGACATTTAGACAATTTACCAAAAATAATATATATCTTTAGTGTTAAATTTCACCACACAAACAAGCTCTGTTTTACATCTTTTTTTCTTTTTACTGAGCTTTGGAAAAAAAAGACATTGCAACCTAAAATAAATTACATATAATGTACAAATTATATATATATATATAATTTATACACATTCAGTATGTATATACACACATATATTGATATAGGATTGACATATTATCTTTAAAGATGTCTTCTGATCAAAACTATCCACTTCCAAAATCTAGAAAACAGCTTTGTGCAAAATTAAATAAAATCATTTCACTGTTGTAAAGCTTATAGAAAAATATAATTTGTCCAAAGAAACTTTGAAATGTTTCAGTATGTTTTGTCTTGTGTTAAGAATGTCATGTGAAGTTACCAAATTAATCATGCGCACTGAGGGTCCCACTTAGCTCCCTTAATAGTGCACAGCTGCATGACAAGAACAGGAAGTTCCCGAGCAAATAGGGCGTATCACTTTCACTTTCCACATCAATAGCTGGAAGCTGGTGTTGTCCCATGTTAAAGCTGCGCTTGGACTGCAGTAACCCATGTTAGCTATGTAACTGGCAATCCATGAAAGCCAATGGCCTGGCCAAGGGCAAGCTCTGTAGTGCATTCAAGTCACCAAAGAGTAAGTAGTCCGATCAGGTTAATGAGGGACAAATGAAAACACTGATTCCACTGACAGAGACCCTCTTCCACAGCACTGCAAGATTTCTGTTTGGATCACTTTCCCAAGGTAGACTTTGATTTACTTAACACCATTCCATTTTGGCAAGTTCCTCCTAAAGTAATATAGTCCTATCCAAAGTTTTCTAAAGGAAAAAGATATATTATTATATTCGTTGTACAAGTTAGCACATATAGCAGTTTGTACAAATAGCCTTATTTTCCCCCCACCCCACAAGAGATTACTACTTTGGTTTAAATATTGGTGTGTGTCTGGCCACATTTCTTTTCAGAGAGACCCCTATTAACAAATGCTTGTCCCTCATCTTAACTACAGTATCCTGCATAGCATCAAATATGAGAACAACACTATCAAATATAAAGTTTTAGATAGGACACCAATATTGTAATAAAGCTTCTGATTTAAAGGTCCACAATCGTTTTTAGAAAACAGTTACAAGGTTAGTGTAATACAGATGGTTCACAGTTGACTACCAAAGGGAAAACTCTCTTTTGTATCATAGATAACAATTAATCTTAAATAGAAGTGTTACCCTGTATTTAGTTTTATTCTGTATTTATCAAAGTCTCTTTAAGATATTTCATCTCTCACTCTTTTTTGACTAAAGGATCTTGTTTGGTAGTCTTAGCAGTATACAATATATTACACTGAATAATAAGAAAGCCAATCTCAGGGCTCCACCATGATACAGATCAAAGGAGTAAGGTCATGTTTCAGCAAGCAAAATAAAGCTAATGATCCCCCTCCCCACAAACCCCCGTTGTATTTTTATATTTCATTAACAATAATAAAAAGAAATGGGGCAGGTATAAGAAGATGATGCAGGACGGCAACACAATCCATGAATCAACAGAGAGACTTTGGTTGACCAAAGAAAGATAAGGTCCCAAAAACATAGGTTTCCTCTACTGAATAGCCGCCATGTCTTTTGCTATTGCATGAAATGAGAAAAAAGAATCAGTGGAAGGGGAAGAAGAAAAATAGAGACTGTTCCTTTAAGTTCCTCATCCATGCCAGCATACTTGGTATGCTATGAATTCATTATCTGAAACCTTCAGAAGCAAGGCCTCATTATTAAAAGTAAAGTGTGAGAGAAGTAAACTTCCAGTTTTCCCTGCAGAATTTTCATTTATTATTCATTATCTTCTCTCATTTCTACGATGTCCGTCATTTCTTCTGTTGGAGGCATGTCAGTCATTGCTGAGTCTTCACCTTCTGTCGCAGTCTCATTATCATTCCTCTTCTTTTTCTAGGTGGGAAAAAAAAACAGTTTTGTAGAAGATGACCTGCAGGCAAGTTGCTTGCTTGCCTTCCTGCCTGCCTGCCTGGGTTCCAGCCATTCGTAGATCTCTGGATGGCTTAGATAAACACACATGTAACACAGAAAATTATAAAGTGCTAAAAGTAAACGCCAAATCATTAAATTCTAAAGAGATTTAATCTCCTTCCTATTTAAGAGGAAGTCAGCCTCATCTGCAAGGGCAATTTATTCCACAATGATTGCCCTGCCTTAGAAGAAGCAGAATTAGTTGCTAAAGTTGGATATATTTGTGGTGAGTTCGGCACAAAGCATGCTCTTAAGGAGGGCAGCGCAGTTTTTACAGAGTATCCTCCAGGTAACTTGGCCACGTACATCTTTATACTAAAGTGAGCAACCTCAACTGGGTTTGGAAAGCAAATGGCAACCTGTGTAGATTTTCCAACACAGGGTGAAATGGTATCACCTAGAACAGAGGTCCCCAATCCCCAACCTGCTACCAGTTTGTGGCCTGTTGGGAACTGGGGCGCACAAGCAACAGGCAAGTATGTGAAGCTTCATTTGTGCATGCGTGATAACTATGTTATTGTTGTGGCCCACCAGTGGCCAGCAGAGCTGGCAGCAGATTCGGACAGTAAGGAGGTTGGGGAGGAACGTGGGCCAGTCCTGGAGTCTGGGGAAAAGGTTCAGACGATAGCTCTGAGTTGGAGGCAAAGAGGGGGCCAAGGCCATCTGGTAGTTCTTTGCTGTCTCTGGAGTCTGACATCAGCGACGCAGAAGAACAGCATGAGCCTGTTCCCAGTGTGTGCCTGCACAGAGCTGCCAGGAGACAGGAACAATTAAGGAAACAGGGTCGACTTGGGAGTAAAGCTTGGAGATGATTAGCCCCTCCCATAAGACATAAAAGAGAAGTGAACGGGATGTGAGCTTTTGCAGGAAGCAATTAGTTCATGTGGTTGGTAAAAGCTTTGGGAAAGTTCTGTTTGACTCTGTGCTAAGTTTGGCCTTGCCCTGCATGTGGCAATTAGTTCTCTGGCAGCATTCCAAGGGAGATAAGGTGAGTGTTTGTAAACACTCCCCTGCAAAACTGTTTGAGAAGCCAGTCGGACTAGGAATGACAATAACTCACAGCCGTATAAATTAAAGAGGTTTGCCAGGAGTAAGTTTGTGCCTTTTAATTTCTAAGGAAGCCTAGGTCAGAACAGTTATGTGCGTGCAACCATCCTCCCTGCTGCCATAATAATAACGATTATACCAATAAGAGGGGCTAGTAGAGAAGATAAGAAGAATACTAATACTACTACAGTTCATACAACATGGATAAATATACTAAGACATAAGACAGTATTATGGGAATTAGATGTTTAGCAGAGTGATGGCATGAGGGAAAAAACTGTCCCTGTGTCTAGTTGTTTTGTAGTATAGTACACTACAAAACAATTGTAATGGCATAAGGAAAGGAGTTGAAACAGTTTATGTCCAGGATGTGAGGGCAGAATGTGGCAGCTTGAGTAACAATGAGTATATCTTAAAACACCCATATTATATTTTCACATTGTGAGTTTCACTGGCATCCAATATGCTTCTGGGTATAATTCAAGGTGAAGATTAGTCACATCTAATGCCCTTCATGCGGTCAGGAAATTTGAGGAATTGCCTTCCTCCAACCGTTTCTACTACCTATGTCATCAGGATTGGCAGGAGGAACATGTTCTGGGTCTTTGCCTATTAAGGAATATCATCTAGCAGAACTCTGCAAGTGTTACAGCACCTGCCCATTGGAACACCACACCACCCAGGATTAAGATGGCCCTGACCCTGCTGGTCTTTCATAAAGCTTTTAAGGCTAGGCTGCTTTCCCTGGCATGGGGATCAGGATTGAGTTTTTGAAGATGGTTCATTTATTACTGCTTCATTTATCCTCAGTTGCCATTTTCTCTGTCTGTGTGTCTGCCTTGAATTGTAATCTGCCCAGAGTCATTGACTGAGATGGTTGGCTATAGAAAATGAATGAATGAATGAATGAATGAATGAATGGCCATTCTTGTTGTTTTTATTGACATTTGTAAATATGTTAGATGAGTGGACATATAAACTTAATAAGTTAAGTAAGGAAATTTGATTTTGAAGAAAAAAAAAACTCCAAAGCAGATTTTCTATTGTAGAATTGGCACAGAAAAAACTTTTGAAATTATTCCAGCCTTCCACAATCTGGGCTCCCTTCCGAATGGCCATTACTGAGAATTCTCAGAGGTGAAGTCCACTCATCTGAAGGGCAGCATCAAATTATTTTTAAAGCCATGGATAAATTTGGATTCAGTATCTGATAGACCACAGCCTTCTATACCATTAATCATTGCCAATCTACAATAATAAATAAAAAAATGAATTTATAATTCATCTTCTCATCTTCTAAGGTAGGTAGGTTTTCAACTGCTGCACTCATTTATGGGATGCTTTACCCTATGAAGATGTATCTGAAAGGTTGTAAGTTCCTCATCTCTTTATTAGAATCAGATGAGCAAAACTTCTCAAGGACTCGGTTAAAGAATAAAATAGAAGCTATGCTCTACGTACACAGCAATAAATTCAGTAACATGCTTATAACAAACAGTCTTCAGTTCAAAAGACCATTTCTGGTCTTCAGAAATCATCAGCATTACTGTAGGCTGAAGGTACAAGCAGATAAACAAGAGGTCTGTTTCTTGAGAGAATGTCTTATCTGTTTTTGAGAGAATGTCTTACCTGTTTTTGATACACATAACAAGCTGCTATTGCAACCATAGTTGATTCTCCTACAAAGCCAGCAAGAAGTGATCCTACACCTAGAGTAGCTCCATGGACCCTAAGAATATCAGAAAGAAATACATGCTATTCTCTCATATTTAATCACTGTATTTTAACAATAAAGATTACCAGAATGATGAAAGTTTGGTTACATTAATACTTTAAATAATGTTCTTTCTGTATAATGATACAGAATAAAACTTGATATCACTCCCCAAAATTTTCCCTGGTTCAGTCATTGACTGTAATGTTAAAGTTTGATTACTACCAGCACAACAACATGCAGAAAGATTATCCTGGTTGTGAGGGGAAAAAATGCAGGGCTGGGAAAACCGTATCTTCATGATGGAAGAGAGGCTCCAAGTGGGAAGGACCTCCTAAAGAGAAGGGGGCCAAACTGATGACTGGTAATATAGATAATGTAAGGACTAGGGGTGTTATAGGAAAGAATAGGCTATTAGAAAAAAAAGCAAGAACTTCAAATATTGAAACAAAAATTGTATGGCCAAAGAATGTGTATATACAATGCAGGACTAGGTAGCCAAAAAAGGTCATGTGCTAGTCTCAGAAGCAACAATATTGAATTACAGAAGTGCTCTACAAAGGTTACATTCCATTTTGTTCGCAAGTCCAAACAAGTATATGTACTGTATGTGGTGTGCTGTAAACTAATATTCTTCCAACATCTGGGACCTCCTAGGTTGAAGTTGCAGACAGATCTGTTCATATCAGTGAAAGTTTGTAACTCAAAAATTCATAAATAGACTAATGTTTGATTACTTATTCTTCTCAGCTGCCATGTAGATGAGCAGTGAAAACAAGCAGTGGGTGCTACCCTGTATATATGCCTGATTCTTAGCCTGCCACACAACCTAATCACAAAATCTAGGTTTTAGAGTCATCTTCCAACATCTTGCAATAATAGTTTTCCTGACAGAAAGAAAAAGAACTATGCACACTCTTACAATTCTGAAATGTGTATATAGTCTCCTCCATGCAGCAAGATCCCTGCCCCTCCATCAGGGGTGAAATCCAGCAGGTTCTGGAGAACCGGTAGTGGAAATTTTGAGTAGTTCAGAGAACTGGCAAATACCACCTCTGGCTGGCCCAGATATTTTGCAATATCCTTCCCCTGGAGTGGGGAGGGAATGGGGATTTTGCAGTATCCTTCTCCTGGAGTGGGATGGGAATGGAGATTTTGTAGTATCCTTCCCCTGCCACGCCCACCAAGCCACACTATGCCCACCAAGCCACGCCCACCAAGCCACACCCTCAGAACCGGTAGTAAAAAAAAATTGGATTTCACCACTGACTTCCATCATATCATTACTGTATCTGGGTTGTGATTTCCATTTGGAAACTGAACATATATATTCTAAAAATCAGAGTCCCAACATCATCATCTAATCAGTCAGTTTAGTGTGGTCAAAATGCAGCAAAGTCACACATTCGAGAAACAATGCACAGAAATGAGTTTCTTTATCAAAGCTTTTTGCAGATAAATATATATCAGCTAAAATTAATGGGGGAAATAACAGTTTCAATCAACTTTTAGGAACACTTCATCAACTCTAAACCTCACTAGCAAGTAATCCTATATACAAACCAAGTCTGTTTGGCATGCATCTAGACTGAACTACTTCCAATTCTTTGCAATTCTTTGGAATGTTCTTTACGGCTTTACAAAGCTCCATCCCCATTAAAAATATTGGCTCTGTCCTAGTAGAAATGCAGAGCAGTCTTTCCATTAGAGAAAGAAATCAAGAAAAACAGAAAGGTGGCCCATGTTCACAAAAAGTTTGTCTGCTCCAGTAAACAGCTGAAGCAAACCCTGATCTAAATTATCACCACATACACAAAGGATTTAATGTGGAAAGCTATCACTATGGGTATAATTGTTCGGCAGAGTTTCCCAATAAATCTTTTCTGAGATGGTAGCATTCTTCCCTCTCTTTATGTCCTTCCTTTTAACCAATAAGCAATTCCATGCACAGTTGAACTGTGACCCAGCAAAGTACAAATTGGATGCAGATGGAGAATATTGTGATTTAATGCAATGGATAGTATGACTTTCTGTTATAGAAGTCATGGCATCATTGACAAAAATACAAAAGGCTAACAGAGTATAACTTACCCTAAATAAGGCAGCACAATCAAACTGGTGATGAGAACAATGATGCGCAGTACTGAGCTAGGAGCTAGGACAAAAGTCTTTTTCAAGGTCATCAACCATCCTGTCAAATGTGCTCTTACTGTGACTAAAGAAGAAGAACACGGAAAGAATGATTACTGGTAGCAAAACCTCGGATACATGCTCAACTTCTAGGAGACAATTCTAGTTCCCTCCAGGAAAAAAATAAGATTGTTTTTTCCCCTCAGGTATCACATGAAGGTCTGAACTACATAAGAAAATGAGCATTATTCCTCAGGTATCCCATGAAGGTCTGAACTACATAAGAAAATGAGCATATAAAGAAGCTGCAAACACATAAATAACTAGCTGGAGTTACGATACACTTATCAGTAGCAAAATCTGATTTCTCCTGTTGCTTAAAAAATAGGATTTGCCAAGAAAAAAAAATCCTTTGGCTAATATACTAGTAAATTAAGATCCTTGTGATATAGTTTGTTGCCCTCTCAAAATAGCACATTTCTACTAAAGATCTGATCCACCTTCTTCAACCTAAAAGATGAGGCATTAACACAACTGACTCCAGACTTAGTCCTGCTCAGACTGGGGAACATGAAAGGAGCCTGCCCGAAAATTGCATTACTTTTGGCAGTCCCTTGAGCAATGGAATTGTCACTGGCAAATTCTTTCAATCCAGTCACACCCTTCGGTTAGCTTTGCAGGTGCTTCTGACGTGAATACAGACTTGCTCAGACTGAGGACCTTTATTTTATCTGGTATTAATCTGTATTGCCTCATAGTTTACATTTTAATTTAAAGTAGTTGGAATTATCCTGTATACATGGCATTCAACCATGGATACAGAACAAGGTATACATGGCTGAATGCCAGAGCAATAATTGGGCTGGGGCAGTTCCATTATCTAATGTTTTATTCTGCCATGATTCCCATTCTGTGTTCACACCCAGAAAATGCTAGTTTTAATCTTTAAAATCTTAACTAGTCGTCAATAGCTGAAGATCCTTCCAGAGGTTCTGTACTGTAAGTGTCCACCCAAGTACAACCAAACAGCTGGGAAACAAGGAAAATACTTTCTTAGTGAGCTACTTGTGAAACATTATCTTCAGAGATATGCCTTGTTATGGTGTGTTTTTTATATTCCAGGTGAAGACTTTTCTTCACTTTACTTTAGTTTAAACTGCGATTTTAAAATGTGGGCTCTCAATATATTTGAAAATCTTAGTATGCTTATTTTTGCTTTATTTTTGTTCCCTTCTGAGTAAACATATTTTTATTTTATCATTATTTGCCTTTAATGTTAGGTATAGTCAAATCAGTAATGCCCTGGACTAGAAGGCAGGAGATGAGTTTTAGTCTTGCTTTATGCATGGAAGCCATCTGGGTGACTTGGTCAATCACTGTCTCAAGCCTAGGAAGATGATATTGACAAGACACTTCTGCAAATGTTGCCCAGAAAACTGCAAGAATTTGTGCCCGTAGTGTTTTCACAATAGTAACTTCATCTAAAATCCCTGCACATAGCAAATTAAATATTGTCTTAAGAGTTATAGATGAGCCTTGTTTAGATGTGTGGCTTTTGTGTGTGTGACGAGCTTTTCTTTACCCAGAATCGAGGATCACATTCTCAAAAGCTCTGAACAAGTCATAAAGGTTGATTGTTCCAACTGGGAGCTTTTATTTCTACAAGTGATGCTTTTTGGTGGATTGTTATGCAAAGCAGAAAAAGCTTTGGGTTAATGTAAACATTCTGTACCATTCATTTCTTGTTTTCTACATACCTGGAACAGGAAAGAAGGAGAAGATGCGAAGAGGAATGACACAGAGCTCTGCAAAAGCAAAATCAACTCCAATGATGTCAATCAAGATCTTCTCAGATACATTAGGCGTCCAAAACATTACAAAGCAGAGCTGGAAGAGTCAGAAAATAATAGTTCATGATTAGATATTGTCTCTTAATTAGCTAAATGTGCCATTGGTTTTCAAAATATAGAACTTCAGCCTTCAAAGCACCTGCAATTTACACTATGTTTAGTGACTGCTAGGATCACTGGAGATTATCAGTCACTAGACCTAAATAAAACAACAAGCCTATTGTTTTATTTAAAACAAAATTAATATTTTATTTAAAGTAATATTCTTGCTCCATATTGCCAATATTTCTACCTGTATGAAAAATTCCAGGTTTAACTTCCCTTTCCAAATTCCCAAAGCAACTCCGTTTTGACCTACATTTCTGTTAAAATGTAGTGAAAATATACTTTTAAAGACAGATTAACATTTCCTTGTTATATTTCTGACTTAATCAATATGCTGCTAATGTTCTTTTATTTTAATGTCTTCAGTCATTCATTTTCAAGCACAAATGAGAGGTTTGCAGTTTTAATCAAAAAAACAAAACACTTCTAGTCTTTAAAATGAAGTCTTCCAAGAATATCACATTGCACAACTCTTCTAAATATGTTTTTAAACTTACATAAGTACAACCATACATACATTTATAATAATATATGAGCTTTCTAAAATATTGCACACTTTATACATTTCTTGCAGCAATTTATTTATTGGTTTTAATTTTTTAGGCTACCCATCACTAACTAAATCTGTAAATGTCAGAATCTAATAATTCAATTTCAATTTCCGTTTAATTCAATGTATATGCCGCCCCTCTCTGAAGACTCAGGGCGGCTCACAATATATTTAAAATCCCAATAAAACCATTTAAAACATTAAAAACATCAAATTATAAATTCTCATACTAAAATAGAATTAACTTTTTTTTTTAAAGGACTATTTTCCTCATGTTTTCGGCATATGTTACTTCACTTTTTAAGCTTAACTTAAAACTTTAAAACTGTAACTTGGAAACTAAAAAAGTTTTATGAATTAAGAATGAAAATAAGATTAAGAAATTGCCTTTCTGTTTTGGAAGTTAGGTATATTTCCTTTTCTAACTTAACATGAGAATGGATCTAATGACTGAAAATGAAGAAACTGTTGTTCATCTAATTCAATTTAGATAGCAAGCTGTGGGTTAAAGGGTTACTTCTTTGTTAAGAAATAACAAAAATTGAAAATTGCAATAATCTTTAGACAAAATTATTCATATTTGGGGATCAAGAACTCAGGGTAAATTACTAAAATTAATTAGACTGAAGTTAGCCATAATCCACAGAGTTCTTTGATTTTTTCTTTGTTTCAAGTTTTTTATTTTATTTTACATATACATATTGTGCATCGGCCCTAGAGATTTCTATCGCTGCCTTGTTGTCTTCGTGGATAACTATTGGATATGAGGGTTCAGCCCAGATGTCGCAGAGCAGGTCATCGAATCATACTAAATTGTTTGCGGCCTTTGATAGGCAAACAAATTCTGCTTCCGTGGTTGATGTGGCCACCAGTTTTTGCTTTCCAGTGTACCAGTGGATGGGGCAATTGTTGAGTAGTAGCACGTAGCCTGAGGTGCTTTTTCTGCACTCTATGTCCCCAGCCCAGTCGGCGTCAGCGTAGCAGGTCAGCTTTGGTTCCTTGGATGTTTCTGGTTCTAGGCAGAGTAGGGCATCTGCACTAAATTTTAAGTATCTAAGTAGTCTTTTGATGGCGTTCCAGTGTGTTACCGTAGGTTTGCTTACATGTCTGGACAGCAGGTTGACGGCCAAGGCGATGTCGGGCCTGGTCCAGTTGGATATGTACAGCAGTGACCCTATCGTTGATCTATATAGTTTGTTGTCTGTGAAGGGTTCAGATTCCTCATACATGGTTTTTAGGAACTCGGGTTGCATGGGGGTCTCGCTGGGTTTTGCTTCGGACATGTTGCATTTGGACAGCAGCTCGATGATCTTTTCTCTCTGGGAGAGTCGGAAGCCCTTGTTGGTTTTTATCACTTGGACCCCTAGGTATCTGTCAATCTTTCCAAGTGACTTTAAGGAGAAGTGGCTACCTAGGTCGGTGGCGAACTTGTCACACCTGTCCTTGTGCTTGCTGATGTACAAGATGTCGTCCACGTAAACGAGCACACCTTCGAATGAGTCGTTTTCTCTCCTCGTAAAGAAGCATTTGTCAGCTGAGGTGGCCTCGAAGCCCATGGATCTGAGGGCCTTGGCCAAGCAGTCGTACCACCTTTTGCCCGACTGCTTGAGCCCGTACAGGCTTTTGTTCAGCAGCCAGGTTTGGTTCTTGTCTTTGTTGTACCCAGGCGGGGCTTTGACGTATATTTCCTTATCCAGCTCGGCGTGCAAGTATGCTGTTTGTACGTCGAATTGGAAGACCTCCAAGCCCAGGATGGTGGCCACCACCAGGGCGCTCTTGACGCTCTCTGCCCTGACGGTTGGCGAGTAGGTGTCCGTATAGTCTTCGGGGTATCTTTGGGCGAAACCCTGCGCGACTAGTCTTGCCTTGTATAGGACCTTGTTGTCCTCTAATGTTTTAACCCTGAACACCCATTTGGTTCCTATTGGTTTTTTGTCCTCTGGAACTTGGGCAGGTGAGTATACCTGAAGGTCCTTTAGGCTTTCCATCTCCTTCTCCATGGCAAGCATCCATTTTTCTTTCTCCTCCCGGGGGAGCTCGAGGATGTCTTCGTATGAGCTGGGCGTGAAATGGGTGTTGTGGATGGTCATAACGTAGTCCTCTAGCTTCTTTGGTAGCTTGTTTCTGGTTTCTCTGATTGGCCTACTGGGGGTTGGCTCGGTCTCCTGCATGATGTCTGCCTCTTTGTCCGTCAGGTCATCTATTTTCAGTGAAGGGTGCCCTTCTTTCCAACCTTTGACGCTTGTCTTGCGATGGTTGGCCTTGTGCCCTGTGACCTCTCTGACCTCCCTTTCCTCTTGGCCATGCTCGAACGTGACTCTATTGGCTGGGATGTCGTTGGAGTGTACCCTCGACCAGTTTGCGTTTTCGTGGAAACTGGCTGATCTGGAAACCACAAAACGGTTATTGTTGTCGACAAATCTGTAGCCCTTTGTGCCCGGTTCGTAACCCACGAACCTTAACCTTTTTGATAATTTTTCCCCTTTTCTTCTTAGCTGTCTGGGAATGTGGACATCAGCTGGGGCGCCGAATATGTGTAAATGTGCGATGTTGGGCTTTCTGTTGTATAGCATCTCGTATGGTGTCTTATTGATAGAGCTTGACCACAGTCTATTCAGGGTGTAATTAGCGTAGTGTATTGCCTCTGACCAGAAATGCTGCCCCATCCCAGCATCCTCCAGGGCGCATCTCATCATGGTTTGCAACACTCCGTTCTTTCTCTCTGAGACTCCATTTTGAAAGGGAGAGAAAGGTGAAGAGGTGTAATGCGCTATGCCCTGCTCCCTCAGCCACCTTGTGAATTCTTTGGCCATGAATTCTGACCCCCTATCAGTCATTATCTGCCTTATTTTCATGTTATGTTGCATATCTACTCTTCTGTGGAATTCCTTAAACCTTTGGAACACTTCGTTTTTGTGTCTGAGGGAGTAGACATACCCGTATCTGGTGTAGTCATCTACAATCGTGAGGAAGAATCGCTTCCTATGTCCTACAGAGGGTTTCATTGGCCCTACCAAGTCCATATGCACCAATTGGAAGGGGTATTCCGTGGTTCGTTTGGATCCCCTGGGGATGGCCTTAACCTTGATCTTGGAACGCTTACAAACTGAACACTCTAAGTAGTTTTCGCAGTTCTTTACTTTGAGACCTTCGGTACATTCCGTCATTTTCTTTACAATGGGGAAGCTTATGTGTCCCAGTCTCCTGTGTAGGAGGTGGGCGCAGTTATCATGTAATGGTTTGCCGATAGATACAGACTTGTTTGTCTTCTCATGGCTACACCCTGCCTCCTGCTGCACCCCCTCTGTTTCTGGATACTTATCTACCTCGTGGTTTGTGCTGGCATCAATGCCTTCTTCCTCCCTTGCGTTGGGTGTGAAGTAGGGAAGCCCCTCGTGTATGGTTACCTTTCCTATCTCTTTCCCTTGCTTGATCAAGTGTGCCTTTCCATCTTTAAATTTTATTTCTATATTTGTGTCTCGTGTCAGCTTTGTGATGGCTAGCACGTTGTGGGGGATTTCTGGTACGTACAGTACTCCTTTTAGGTCCCCTACCTGTGTGATGTGTACGTTTCCCTTTCCCACTACTTTGACCTTGCTTTGGTTTGCTACCTTTACTTCTGAGTCTATTTCTGTGAGTGAATCTAGCAGTTCTGGGTTACAAGTAGTGTGACTTGTGGCCCCTGAATCCAGGAGCCATGTGTTTCTCTCTGCCTTATGTTTGTCATTTGGGTCATCGTGCCTGATCCCATACATGGAGCCAGAGTTACTGTCCCTGGAGTGGTCTCTGCGCTCATGGTGTTTCCTGGGGTTGGGTGACCACCCTCGCCCTCTTTCCTTTGGGTGCCTGCGTTCGGGTGACCTTCCCCCTCTACTGTCGTGCTGTCCCCTATCCCTATGGTTCCTGGGGCAATCCTTCTTTAAGTGGTTCCTTGATCCACAAGAATAACATTCTGAGGTATCCCTGGCCCTATCCTGGAAATCCACCCTTTTTGTGGGTCTAGGGTCCCCTTTGGCTAGTTGGCGTTCCCTCCTCAGAGTGTCCTCTGCAACGAGCTGACTGGTCAGTGCGCTTAGTGTGAGGTATTGCAAGTTGAGGCTATTTAGTTGGGTCATGAAGATGTCCCAGCTCCTATCAAGAGAGTTTATGATTATGCTTATCATGCTCTCTTCAGTGATGATCTCCCCCCTCTGCATGAGTTCTGCCCTTGCAGCATTCATCTTTAAGATGTGCTCACTCATGGGGACCCCTGCCTTATGCTTGGTAGAGTGGAACTCCCTAGATAGTCTAGTGGTGGTGGCTCTGCTTTGGCTATAAAACAGGTTACATAGTTTTTGCATAATATCATAAACAGTTAGATTGTCCTCAATAGATGGATACAT